GCCCAGAGCGCGCGGGACCGAGCTGGTCCGCTTCAGGGGCTGCTGTGCCTCATGAACCCGCATCTCAGAGTGGTTGATCCCGTCGATGCAGCTGCCGCCGCCGCCGCCGCCGCCCCCGGTGCCGCTGCTGGCGTCCAAAGCGTCCAGCACCGCCGCCGCCGCGCGCGCCCCCATGCCGCACAGCTGCGCCTGCAGGCCGCCCAGCAGCACCAGGTGCAGCGCGCCGTTGCCGGCGGCGTCCAGCGGGCGCGAGTGCCACGGCGCGGGCGCGGCGGGGCGGGCGGCGGGGGCGGGCGCGTCGTGCGGGCCCGAGAGCAGCGCGCGCAGCGCCGCCATTGCCGCCTCGCCGGCCAGCGGGGTGGCGGCGACTCTGATAGCGTCCAGGTCGCCGCTGCGGCAGGCGTAGACGAGGTGCTCATCGCCGGGCAGTGGCTGGGGCCAAAGGAATGGGTCCTTGGCGCCGCTTTCGCAGCCGCCGGCACTGCTCGCGCTGTCGCTGTTAGCAGTGCTAACCGTGCATCCGCCAGTGGCAGTGGTCGCCGCTCTGGCAGTCTGCCCGCTCGGTGATAGAGCTATGTATCGGTCATGCGAGCTTTCGAGCACGTCCGCAGCCATTTTCAGGACGATGCGATGTCCAGGTCGATGGGCCTGATGCAATTATTCGGAGAAAGCTGTCGCAGAGGTTTGCAAGCTCATAGATTCACGCTGATCGGAGGGGTTGGGGATGCTGCACAACTGCACTTCGACGTGTCTCCGAGTCATCGCTAACCAGTGGACACACTTGACACCAGCGACGACAGTGGCATTTTGGTACAGTCTGCATTTTGGTATCTGGTGCTCTGAATGTGTACGTAGCCCCTCATAGATTCTACTCTGTTTCGTTTTTACGTGTCACTTGATTCACGCGCCGCACATTTGCACGGGGTGTGCTTGGGTCGACAGAGAGTCGCAGCAAATGCAGCCTGCATGCATGAGCAGCAAGAGCATTCCCATAAAGCTAGCACCACCGCTTGCGCAGGCAATTGGAATTTGTCCCTGCTAGAAAGCACAATGGAGCACTGAGCATGACCAAAGCGCAAAACATCACATTCTCAGAACTGGTGTTGGCTTGGAAGATGATGCCCCAGGCCCCAGCCGCACGAGTCAGGGGTGGTTGGGCGCATGGCTATCAAGTGCTGCGCTCTGGCATTGACAATTTGTTTTCATTGCTCAGTACCAACGCTGCGCCTACGCGCCTGCCACGCAAGGCGGCCGGCTGTCATCGACGCTGCCGCCACACCTCGCCGGCGTCGTGCCTGACCGGCGCCTTTGCAGCCCTCCTTTCCCCACACAACCCCTAAACATCAGCCCAAAGCACGCGGACGATGCCAAAGCGCCGGTCCACCACAACGCCGGCAAGACCACGCACGCTCCCCAGGGCAAACGGCCAAAACTGCACCTGCGGCAGGCATGAGCGCCGCTGGTGCCCACGCTGCGGCATGGCGGGTGTAGGTGCCGCAAGGCAGCCGAAAGGCGCCGCTCAATCTAGGCGCACACAATTTGCGAGATTTGCGGACGCGCCAACCGACGCGAGGGGCCGTGGCTGGCACCCTTGGTTGCTCAGCCTGACCTTGTCAACCTGGGCTAGGCGTAACCGCATGCTGTCTCATCCGCAAGGCGGTTTGCGGCAGGGTCATCACAGTCTGCTGGCGGACTTGCAAGGAGAGTGCGACAAAGCGGCACGGACGCGCGCGGGGGGCCGGGGGGGGGGGCGGGGATGGCGGAGACATGCACCACAGCCATGACAATTGCAGGCACGGCCTCGACTGCGGCTGTCGAGATCCATGCGGGAGGTCGAAAGGCGGGTGGCGGGGCACCCAGTGCTGGTTGCACACTGAAGCTGGTTCTGCCTACGCGCCAACATTGCAGCAAGCGAGACCTGCAGCAAATGCATGGGCATGGCCATGCCGAATAAGGCCGCTTGACAAAGCATCCCAGGCGACTTGCCCGGTTGAGTGCATCACACACACGCGCACGCACGCACGCACGCGCAGGGCTACAGGCACGCGCCGCACCGCGGCAACGCCGCCTCGACGCGGATGTAACGAGCCAGCGCCTGGCCTTGCGTTGCGCGTCACGCCCTGCCGGGCTTACTGCCAGCCAGCGCTGTGGAGCTTGTAATTACCCGATGAATATGTGGTGTTAATTGATTAAGAGTGCTTTGCCCAGGGAAACAGGCCGCATCGCAGCTCCTGCTCAACGCAAGTCTTGCAGCGCACCAGTTTTTGGGGAAAGCCGCCCCATGACTGCAGGTCATCTGCACACACACTGCAAACGCCCGGCGCTGCTCCCTGGCCCCACGGCTAGCCGCAGTCTATACAATACCGTGTAAACACATGCACTCGTCTACAGCAGAGCACGCACTGATCGTAGCATCGTAGCAGTGCAGGTCACGAGCTGGTGGAGCGATCGATGCTTTCTCTAGACGGGCACGTATGTATACTTGAATGCAGAGTCGTTCACACAACCTCGGCCAGCAAAAGGGAGCCGTGTGGCCAGGGAGCAGCGCCGGGCGTTCGCAGTGTGTGTGCAGGTGACCTGCAGTCATGGGGCGGCTTTCCCAAAAACTGGTGCGCTGCAAGACTTGCTTTCAGCAGGAGCAGCAATCGGGCCAGTTCCCCAGTCCAAACCAATCAAGAGTAGTTTACAACACATATTCATCGGGTAGACCCAAACTCCACTGCGCTGGCTGGCGGCAAGCCCGGCGGGGCGCGACGCGCAACGCGAGGCCACGCGCTGGCTCGTTGCATTGCGTCGACGCGGCGTTGCCGTGGTGCGGCGCATGCCTGTAGCCCTGCGCGTGATGCACGGCTTCCTGTAAGTGTGCGGCTTTGCCTGAACTGCTTTATCAGGTGGCCCTTGTCGGCCCGGCCATACTGTACCCACCAGCTGCGGGTCCTTATAGCATGGATGTGGTTGCGTGCACGTGGAACCAGCTGCGGCGTGCAACCAGCTCCGGGTGCCTGGCCACCTTCCCCTTGACTTTTTATTGCACAGGTCTGCAAGCTGTCTGTGAATGTTTTTTCCGCAAGCTGGCTTGGGCAGGAGACTGGAAGTACATTCACCTGCGCCACGTCAGCCCCTTCGATCCAAGACTCAAGCCGCGGGCGCTCGTGCTGGTGCATTCGCGGACACGGCAATACCTCGCGCCTGTGGCGAGCGGGACCAATTCGCTGTCTTGCTGCAGTGTGAACACCAGCGGTGCTCCGGCCTGCTGCAGCAGCAGTTTTGGCCGCCGTCAGCCAAATGCGCGCTGCATCTTGCGCAGTGCCCGACCGGCGCTTCCGCATCGCCCATGTGCTGCAGCCTGCTTTAGGGGGGGGGCGGACCTGTGTCTGCTGCACCAGACCCTGCCTCCCCACCCGCTTTTGAGACGCAGGTCTTGGAGGTTGGGTCCCGCTTGCACACCATTCATTGCACACTTCCATTATAATGGTGTTGGGCTTGCCTATGCTTGCTTACATCAGCAATCTGCGCGCCTACGCTTGCGTGCATCAGCATTCTGCGCGCCGATTATGTAAGTCCACTTTTCAAGCTCTGCCAATGTGTCTCGGGACTTTTGTGGCGTCTAGCTTCATCAACGTTTCTCGCCACGCCACGCGCCGCGGTGCGTCCTTTTGAAGAGCCCGTGGTGTCCACCCGCTTATGACGTCAGCATGCTCCAAGCCTGGCTGCAATGGCGCGTGACTCGCTTCTGCGTTTGAGATGAACGCCTGATCGCCTCCCTGACAGGCAACCAAAGATCATTGGCTGAGTGCTGCGCTGCAGCCTTTCCGTTTCTGTTGCATCACGGTACCGCCGCCCTTACAAAGCGCGTGGGTGTCCCCAATGAGTCACAACAAGGGTAGGGTCAATGCGTAAGCAGTCACATGACAAGCAGGAACCACAATCACAACCAGCCCCCACACAGTACCCCCAACCGCGCGTACAGCCCGTCACGACCCAACGCTTGCGGCGCCCTCCGCCGCCTTGCCCTCAGCCGCCCCGCCCTCGGCTGCCCCACCCCTGTCTCCGTTCCCGCTGCCCCCTGCCTCGGCCCCGGCCGCCGCCGCGGCCTCCCCCACCGCGGGGCCCTTGGCCAGCGCCTCCAGCTGCGCCCTCAGATCTGAGATCTCCTTCTGCTGCTGCAGCAGCCGCAGCTGCAGCTCCCCCACCGACGGCGAGGCCGCGCCCTTGGCAGCATCCACGCTGCCCGTGCTGCTGCGCCGAACACGGCCATCCGCGGGGTCCCCCCCCGCCGCCTCACCCCCAGATGTAGCCCCGCCGCCGTCTCCTCCAGAGC